GCCTACCTTACCTCTTGTCCACGGGTTAGCGGTGAATATTATTAACTGACTGCCTTACCTATAGTCCATCAGTTCAAAATTAGAGATGGCTATGCCCAAATAGACCTTGTATGGCCATGCCTGAAAAAAAAGGAAAAAAGACCTAATTCGATGCCTGTATTTTCCAATGTTGTACATCTTAGGTTATTTCAGTAACAGAACGTTGTAATTGACGTGAATATACCATAAATTGATGTTTGTGTATACAAAAGCACATTGAAGTATATACATACGATCTGATGTACGTGTAGATGTTATTCTCCTGCATAATATCGTATTGACAGGATGTACTCAAAGGTCGAAAGGATGATACGCCGCCTCTCCAGGATATCGAGCTTTAAACAAGCTCGAAAAATCCGGGATGTAGAGTTCCGGATTTAATGGACATAGTACACACGTGTATCCTCTACAACAACACTACGTCGGTAAGAGCAGCTGGATTTGGTTAATGACAGTTTAATAACTATTATATGAAAACCTTGCAGCGCATGTGTTTTGATTTCAGATGAATCTTTGCAACCATACAACCTATCTCTGACTGACTCAGTTTCGAAACTCAACTTTATTCCTCTTAAGTGAGGATTTATAAACTATGTTAGACATTAGGGGCTTGAACCAATCAGTGATGTGTCACTATAATACTAGGATCATTCATCTACAGTATTCTTCTGCCTTTGATTGAGCTAAAACCACAGCCAAACCAAATTCATTTCTAAAGATCTATAATACTAAGATCATTCATCAACAGTATTCTTCCTCCTTTGATTGAGCTAGAATCACGGCCAAACCAAATTCATTTCTAAAGATTTAACTGAATAAGTTCACGTTTTGTATTAAAATGATTTAGCACTAGAAACCTAACCTTCCGACGAAGTGGGTAAAACACGATAATTTTTATCTGAAACACGTAAAATGAGTAACGCCACAATATTGATTCAACAGAAAGTGAACATGGAATGGAATGAATCTGGACTTCTATACATATGAAACTATCACTTCTGTGTTACACAAGATCTAAGTGGTTATTCTTCCATTAAGTGTGATAGTTGTAATTCTCGTATTACACGTTACATTTGTCATCATTCTACCATTACAAGTCATTATTTTTCAACGAAAATAACCAAGTCGTTATTATTTCACTACAAGTCAGTGAAGTTTGGTGTAATTACTCTTCTACTGTGGTTATTATAAACTGTTGCTCTTAGGTTTAAGTTGCCCAACGAATAAGATTCGACACCCACCCCCCCCCCCCCAAATAAACAAAACAGAAATCAAACAAATTGTTCTCAGTGGCAAATTATTCGCAGTTTTCAGCTTAAAACCATCTGCTTTTTATTATTCTCTCATTTTTCTATTTTCTTGCTTATTGTAATTATCAGGAAAGTTGTCATAGACGGGTGTATTAGCTAAACATTAACTAGTATTGTAAAAAAGAAAGAGTTAAGTTAAATCGTAAAGTTCATTGAGAAGGAGTTCATTGACTCTTGAAATATCACAAACAAGGCTTTTCTCTTGCGCGTAATTAGAAATACGGCCCCACATGGCACGACTCTTCTCAGTGACGCTGCTAAGCGTATATGTACTTCTGCGTTGACATCGCGTGAAACCCTTTTTTTTATTGTAATCGCGTCGACATTCGCGTTACGTACTTAGCTTGACTAAAGTTTCAAACCAAACAACTCACTCTACCTCAAACACAATTATGGATTTATGAAATGACAACTTTTTTGGAGAA